CTCTGGCCTCAATCTTCTCATAGAAAAACCTACCCAATCAGCTTGAGACATTTCAGTTCCATGTAGACCCTTGACGGGTGAGACGTAGGTATAATGTGTTTGATAGCAAAGTGATGCCGGCCATTGATGGTGGTGGTGTGTTTGGTGCGAGCCAAGTACACAGAGCTGAACGTGCCATGTCCAATACACTGACTGATAACAAACAGAGACTCTAGCTGAGGCACAGCATCCCGAAGGAGTGCTATATTGTCTTGCTCCTCATCTAGAAAATCAGAAAGCATGTTGCATTAGATCGAATATAGTTGTAAACAGGTTTTGTAAATGCAAATAAACTTACATGTTGATAAAGATAAATGTGAGCACAAAATCTGATGGTTACAAGCAGTTATGCAGGAAATCCGTTTTTTTTAGGATAAAAGGAAAGAAAAATGCAAAAAAAATTCTCAGAAATTAAATAATTCTGGATATTGATTTATTTTAAATAATGAGAAAAAAATCAACCCAGAGGTACAACAGGCATACAAGAGCCTATTTCATGCAACACTGATAAAACAAAGGCAGACCAAAATATGGAAAAGGATTACAAAGAGAAAAAAAAATCCATTTCAACCCAATGTTCAAAGTGCTGGTGCTCCTGTGCTGTTCCAAATACTTGAAAAATAATGTAGATGCTTAATACAGTATCATACTTGATGTAAATTAACTACAAAAACATGCATTACTCAATTTCCTTTGAACATAAAATGAAATTTCACTTTATCAGTGTATCTAGTCCCAAAGTAAATGAAGCTTCTTACCTGCTCTGGATGTCGACCCACCAGGGCTAACAACACCCCTAACATCCATGAGTGACACAGACGTGGCTTCCCCTTACACAGCATCAGCCGTCTAGAGAGAAGAACCAGAAGTTACTACCTTTATTTACTGACACTAGCAATCATCCAGTACAGATTTCAAATAATTTACTTAACATTCCAGTTCCAGTGCTTTCCTTAACAGAAATTCTTCATACAATACCAATGCTAATTCTATTTTTACAAATTTGACACATCAGTCACTACATAAAAAAATAATGAAAACTGATACAGTAAAATTGTTAATACAAAAAGTTAAACTAATATAATGAATACAAACACACAATTTACTCATTAGGCAGTATCACTCAAAGTGTGACAATAATGATTCCAACAAAAAATAGAGCAAAACTGATATTGCTTTCTCCCATAGCTAATTACCAGATATTTTTTCACTTGCTTGTCTTACTGCAATTACTTTCCATATAAAAATCTAGAATCAAGGACCACACGGCAAGAGAAAACACTAGGTAATGCCTATACTGAACACAGAACAAAACTATGGACAAAATGGAATATCCACAGAAACTGAATGTAAGCCATACACTTCATATTGAAAACAACTCCACCATTTACATTCTTGCAAGACAGAGCTCGTTGATGAGCCTGGTGATCTACTATTAAACACAGCAACAGAGATCATTTTAGCTGCTGCATTTTTATCACTCATGTAGAATGGCCCTTACTCTCAGGTGGATACAGTTTTAAGTTTAAGATGTAAAATACTATTCTCTCTCTCTCTCTCTCTCTCTCTCTCTCTCTCTCTCTCTCTCTCTCTCTCTCTCTCTCTCTCTCTCTCTCTCTCTCTCTCTCTCTCTCTCTCTCAAAAAAAAAAAAAAAAAAAAAAAAAAAAAAAAAAAAAAAAAAAAAAAAATACCTTCTGTTACAACCATAAGCCTCTTCATTATTTCTGATGAATGTAACCAACCTATCTGAATGATATAGGAGTTTCTAAAATATACATAAACAGCAAAGCCTATTAATGTAGCATATATTTAAAGTGTTCTACATATAGTGAAATAAAGACAAATGTCTGTGTTAGTCTATATAGATCTATTCATCCACCTATCTATCTATTTATCTGTCCGTCCATCCTTCCATCTGTCCATGTAATCATCTTGTGAAAGTTCATCGACCAAATTTCATAATGAAATAGCCCAAGTACACAATGGTCCTATATAAGAAAACCAAATTAAGTATGCAAAAGGTGATAAAGAAAAAGCCAGATTTAAAGCAAACTTCAGCATGTTCAGTAGTGATACTGGCTAGCAATTTCAGTTAATTGACTATGCTTTTGAGTCCAAATCAGGATTACAACAATTCTAATAACACAAAACAGCTGCATTTCTAATATATGTGCATATGTCAAAATTGGTACCATATCCTTGTGGATGTAGGATATGTAAGGATAAATTAGTAGCTTAGCCAATTCCTTTTCACCCAACTTTGACCCCAAACCTGATGCTACACAGCTGAGTTAACTGGGAGGGCCTGGCCAGGCGCTGATCTGTTATTTAGCAGTTGCAATGCAAGTTCTCTATGCTCTGCTGTGTCACTACCTAGTATATATCATATGTGATAAAGCACAGCAATATGAGAGCTCAGAAACACTACAGGATGTTCACAGGGATTATCTCCTAGTTCCA